TACTCAGTATCTTCTATAAAGAATCCATTACCACCAGTATGATCAAGTCTTGAATATGTAGAGGAGTACTAAAAATATAATATTGTGTGTTTTACTATTCTGTATACATCATTTGTATATACACTATACTATATATTGTGTTTTGTACCTGCTTATTCATCAATGTGGAATAAATGTCTTGTTGCTGCATTCCTCCACCCAAACGGTCATTCTAAATTTCAGTCATTATTATATCATGCATCATTACAATTAACATACTGCTGTGGGAACGTAAAGTGTTTCTGCTAATAAATTGTAAGTTTCATTTTCAACTTGACAAATAGTCTAAAAACATAGTGATTAACAAACTGATTTAGTTACAACATGACATACGGCATAGATTATATATACCCACTCATATTATGTTGTGATAATGTTGCTGGGTTATAGTTTAGTGTTTATCATTATTATTTACTTCATGTTGTTCTTTCATAGTTATTATTGGTTCTTCATACAAAGCTGGCATTGGACTGACACCTGTATAAGCCGCAATAAAATAACAATAAATATATTTATATAAAAGTATTTATGTTCACTTAGTGTCTATACCTGTAGCAGCTTCATAATGATTATTGGTAGCCATTGTCTCACTGTACACTGATTCTATCCCATTCATTACTGGCTTTGCTTCTTCATATAAAATTGGACCCATATCTATAACAAAATCATGCAGTATTATACTGAAATGAAATATGTTATGATTATTTCTATCATAACTGATACAGTAAATCTAGTAATAATAAAAGCTAATGCACTACCCAACTACACCAATGCAGTCTAATTTGATCAATAACTTTTATTGTCATTGTAATATACCTTGTGGTTGGTAGGTAGGATTAGACATATTGTTCAGTTCTGTCTCAGTTGAACGTGTATCCATTGGAGAATTACCTCTTGATGATAGCTTTTGGTGTCGTCTTTTATACACTAATACACTCACTATTAATATTGCTAGTATAGTAACTACCAGTAATATAAATAATGTACTAAGTACTGCTGCTAGTGTATTACTCCCTGTGCTTTGAAGTGTACCTTCAGTGGATAGTGTAACTGATGGATTACTGGTTGAACTATCAGTAGCTGATGTACTACTGATGGTTGATACAATGGGAGGAGGAGGGCTAACTGTACCATCACTGATTGATGGAGTAGGAGGACTAGTAACAGAAAGAGTTGAAGAGAGAGTGTTTGATAATTGAGAGTGTGTGCTTGTGATGTGAAGTGTATTGTTTATTGAAGTTGGTGTCATTAGTGTGGGGGAACTGGTCAAGGATGATGAGGATGTAGAATCCAGTGAGGTAGTGGATGGTATGCTCACATTAGTAGTTGATGTTATTGTAGTAGTATCTGGAGTGAGGAAGCATGTTGATTGTGTATGGATAGTATCAGTAGTAATGATAGTAGAGGACATTCCTGGTATAAATGGACTTGGATCTATAAGGAACAACAAAGCATACAATGATAGCTACTATTAAATTGCAATATATACCTTACCTACTACAACTGATATCAGTGGATAGTCATTATGTTCCAAGGGTATTAATCTATTACTGCTATCAAGCTGATAATTCAATGGTCCATTGTATTGTTGATAATACATTGGATTACTATTAGTGGTTACATTGATTACTAATATATCTCCATACTGTACTTCAATATCACTTGTAAAGTTATGTACATTACCATTACTTGATGTAGCAGCAGAAGCATCAACAGTTAGTGCATGAATCAGTTTAGAAGAACGTTTTAAATAAATTTTTGGATAATGTTTGCTTGTATCCTGATTCTGTGTAATGCCAATTATCCAGTTAGTAATATTACCATTACATGTGAACTGTATATCAGGAAAAGCTCTTGTATCATTGACTGGTATTACATTAGTAACTGATAGACTGTTTGTATTAAATGAGCTTTCATTAATTGGAGGACAGTTACAATTGTTACCTAAAATACATTAAAATAATAAATACATTTCATTAATGACATACTTGTAATTGGATGTATTAGGATACTTGAGTTTTGTAATGTTATTTCCTGATTTTGAGCCTGAGAGTTTTTGTTAACCATACTATTATTACCATTATCAACTATTCTTCCAATCTGACCAGTTCCATTTACTTTATAAAATCTAACAACACTTCTATCATCAGGAGGTTGATATACTCCTAGTCTGTAACCTTGGGTATTACCACCACCAGCCCGGCCTCCAAAGGTCAAAGGAGTAGGCAGTGTAACATGATACAGTCCATTAGTAGTGAAATTGTCAAGAGATAATCTAAGTTCAATTACATGTGTGTTTTTATATTGATTTTGTGTTTCTTCCCATATCTCTATTTTAGGATATTGGGTCCTATTACCAGTTTCAGTTCTAATGTCAACTCCAACTAATACTTCAGTCAGTGTAGAACTCATACAACCTGTACCAAACTGCTGATCAGTGATGATCCATCTTGTTTCTACTGATTCTGCTAGTCCAGTAGTAGTTTGTCCATTGTTGTTAGTACTGCCAGTTTTAGCCTCCAGTAAACTTAGTTCCATAAATCCTTCAGTACTATAATCAGACTGTACTGTACCATTTAACAATAACAGCAATAAAGAAAGGAGAGAGAGAGAAGGACTCATCTTGACTGTTACATAATCTCTGCATGCAATGTTGATTTTCACAATTCATAACTGCCACACCTTACAATAACTTTTCAATAGCTAGTCTAAGACTATAGTGAATAGTACATATTGAGGATCCATTCATTGTGATTCAGTTATTAGCTTTTAAGGGATCATTGATGTGTACTGTTTGTGTGCAATAACAGGGGCGTAGGAATAGGGGGGGGGGCAGCTGCCCCCCCCACTTTTATTGACATGGGGCTCTACCCCCCCCCTACTTTTACTAAACTGGGTTTTTTGAAAATTACACCATTTCAACTTATACCAATAAGCACCTCATAATGATAATGCACCAAGTCATTCAAGTCAATTTTAATTTCTCTTAAATGCATGGTTAGCTACCAGCTGAACTAATTCAAGTTACAAACATGGCTACTCAGTAGTAGAAAAAGACAAGCTAGTAAATTGTAATGTGAAAAATTGCATGCATCGTTGTCAACTGTTTGCGGTGCCTGCCCCCCCCCACTTTTCAATAGCTTCCTACACCTATGAATAAAAAATAAACACAGCAGTTTTATACCTGGACTGTTAATATAATAATAATTTATAATGGAACCAATTCCACTTATAACACATATATAAGAAAGGATTGCTTTTGCATTATCATCATTAACTGTAGAATGCACAATCAATCAGTTCTTGTACATGTACTGTAAGTCGGTGTAGAGGGAGTGGCTTGTTTCTAAAGCTCCACCCAGTACAGTAACAGGATCCTCTTTATTAATCATTAGTAATTGTTTATCAGGTGAGGATAGACTTGATGATGTATCTGAGAAACTTGGACGATTATGAGTATCAGGATTCCTATACAATACAATGATGAATTAATCTACTCTTGATTATACTAATTGTGTGTGTAATGACACACACAAATGCACAAAGCAAGTGCAATGGTCCATTAAAATATTCCAAATATTCGTAATTTGATATAATTGCTCAATTCTCAAGAGCATAAACTTAAGTATGTTACAAAAAGAAGAATGCTAGCAAGTAGCAACCAATCACTTTCATTGGAATAACAAATGACAACAAGAATGATTGTGTGTGGGTGTGCATGAAAGCATGTTGTGGTTATATACCGTATAGCGGGTATATTCCGTCAGAGTTTAATTTCATTCTTTTTGTTTTCATTCCTTGTGGAACAAATATTTTCCGAACAAAAAAGGTGTTTCCTCAATGTCACATGTACAAAATGGCTGCTCAGAATGAAAATAAAACGAAAATTTCTAATCCTGCTTAGAACAAACATTTTTCTAGATGAAATATACCAGCTATACGATATGATAATAACAAGCATAACAGCTAGTGTAGAAATCATTCCTATAATTGTTTTCACCACCTTGCATGTACAGCTGGGTTCTTATTAAGACCTATAGAGGTTCTCTCTACCTTCAAATGCTTCTAGAGAAGTTTTAGACAGTATATCTATGTTCCTTTGCTTGCTGTTAGACTTAGCTAGAAAACTCATAACTTCATCCCATGTGTAAGCCGCCACTTTGCTTGCTGTGGCCACACCCACTATGTAAAGTAGCGTGGGTGGATGATTGCTAAGGCTTGTTAGTTCTCCAATACGTGTATAGAAGAAATGTAAAGGTGGGTTCAAAATATTTGCGTTGCGACCGGAAGTGCTATATAACACAATGGGTAAACGCGGCTCTATTCTTGCTTTTATCATTGCGTTATACAGCACTTCCAGTCGCAACACAAACATTGTGAACCCAGCTTAAGTGTTTACATACAAATCATATATCGCACGTGGGTGAAATCAATTATAGGACAACCTGGGGGCTACGCCCCCAGGTCGTAATAATAATCCCCTCAATTCACATATCAGGATGTACACTCACTGCACTGTGTAGTGCATTGGTATATAATGTCATCATGGATTATTAGTAATTTGACACAAAAGGTCATATTGTTTGTGTTAATGTTACAATAGTGTACATTCCCCATAGCACTAATAATAAATACATACCAGCATTGCATCATTAGTTTATACATTGGTTTAGGACATCCTGGAGGAGGTGGTAATCTATACCCTGAATCAACCAGTCTAATGCACTAAAAATACAATAAATAATATTGAAAATTATAATCACTATCAGCAGTATATACCTCTTGGTTAGTGTCTATTTCAAATGGTTTATGTCCTATTGACCAAATCTCATACATTACAGCTCCATAACTCCACACATTCACTAGCACTGGAATATTTCTTATAATGTAATGCCTATACATACACAATTTAATATTTTAATTATATAGTTTGTAATTACTTCTGGTGCTGTCCATTTTATTGGAATCTTTTTTGATTGTGAAATATAATAAGATTCATCTTGTAGATCCCTTGACATACCAAAGTCCGCAATCTGAGACCATACTATATAAAGTCCAATTGTTAGTACTAATCTCTTACCTTGCATATTCCTGTTCCTTCATCTGATACTAATATATTTCTTGCTGCAAGATCTCTGTGAACAAACTTCTTTCTTGACAAGTACTCCATTCCTGAAGCAATTTGACGACAAAATGAGAGTAAAATAGAAGGAACTGATGATAATACTAACTCCCCAGGACTAAGAGAAGAGAGAGAGACAATAAGGTATTAGTACAACTATTGATATAAACTTACGACGGTTTAAATTTGTTAAGATACTCTTTCAAGTCACCTCCAGATATCAATTCCAGTACTATCATTATCTATGTACAACATTTAAGAGTACAATCATTAGTAATACTACAGACTCACAGGATGTCCAATGGTGACCACTCCATGTAGTTTAACAACATTAGGATGATGAAACTGACCCATAATGGCTGCCTCTTGTAGAAACTTTACTCTCTCATCCTCTGAAGTGTTATCATTAAGTGTTTTAATAGCAACAGACACTGATCCAGCAGTAGGTGTAGTCCATACTCCTTTATTAACTGTACCAAACTGTCCTGATCCTAAATAATCTGTTACTCTATTGGAGTGAGAATGTGTACATATTTAT